TCACAGAGAAAGTCCAGGCTTCAGGAATGGTCCCCAAGCTCAGCTTCTCTGAAGGCAGGAAGAAAATAATCATTCAGCAATGGGTCCGCATCATCTTGGAACATCCAGGGGTCTTCCGAGTATCACACAGGTTTCGTTGGTCTAGACGCACACGTTGCCACCGGGGTACAGGCACACGCTTCCACGTCGTCCGAAAATGCCACTCCTCCCAGAGTGGGAACCAAGGAGCCCAGAACTGAGCCCCCCATATCCCAACCCCCCGTATCTAGAGCCTTGCCCATAACCGGGCACAGCACAGGGAGAGTAGCCTCCGACCTGAACGCCTTCAGGGCTTGCACACAAGATGGGCCCTGGCATGACTATAGTGACAGAAGGAGGTTGGATTGTGACCTCGCTTGCTGGGTTCTGGACGATGCAAGCAGGGTGGACCCCTTGAAGCACTCCGAGACTAGCGGCGGAGACGGTGCCCCCGTAGCCGCTGCCAATGGAACCCAAGCCCCCAAGACCTAAGGCGCCACCGAAGCCAACGTTCTCGGATCCAAAGCCAACGCTGGGGGTGGCAGCGCAGGAAGGGATGGCGTTGGATGGTCCACAGATAGGCATGGCTGAGCGAGGGAGGTCAATCTGAAACACAAAGTCGGTGAACTGAATTGGGTGAGGAAGGTGGAAAGCTTAGGGAATGAGCACAAAAGATACAATGTAAACAGTGGAGAAAAATTGAACCAATACTGCAAAAAGGGAGGAAACAATGATTCTGTAATTCAAGAACAACCCACTGAGTCATTGTTTCCCAGATGTTGTAGGAATTTAGCTCACAGAATCTTGTGCTGTCATGGGCAGTGGTGAGGGCTTAAGGCAGTTTCTTGTCCAGAAATGCCACCCTGAACGAAGTGGTGTGTTTGAATAAAGCTTGTGGCTCTGAATCCTAATCCTTACCACTCTAATTCATATACTGTACTCTAAGTGTCAATATCGGAGAAAAGAGAAATATAATTTTTAGGGAAGTATCTCTCAAAATCATAGCAACTGTCAATCTGTTTCAATCCCTTTTCTAGCTTCCCTTTTCAAGCCAGACAGACATTTCGTAAAGGGCACAAGCTATATCTTGATGACTTTTTAAAGAATGAAAAGCCCAAGCTCTCCTGTAAACTCCATACACATCACCATATAAAATGCCCAGATTTCTAATTTTCAAAAGCGTAACTGGACTTCTATGCAGTGTTTTGATTCTGGGGTTCTTCCCCCCTATCTATAGTACTGTCTTCCCCAGGCCCACCAAATTTACTCATCTCCAAGTAAATCGAAGTTTTCCTCATGCTTTCCTCAAGCTTCATATTTTCTAGAGCAAAGATCCACCTAGCTGTTCTCTGGTGTGGATCTTTGAAAAATATGGAAATGTCCCAAGAAAAATGGACTTACCTGCTCCTGAGAGAAGGTGAAGAGAAGAGATGAGAGTCGACTGAAGCTGTTGGAGATGAAGAGAGAAGGCTCGGCTTTTATACAATTCTTGCAGCGTCCTCTATGGCTAAGACACCACCTCTTTTGGCCAACTCTTTGCTTAATTGCTGACAATTCTCCTTTCATGTGCAGAATTTCTGCACTAAGCATAAAGGGTGAGATCCCATGATTTAGTTGTGGTTATCATCATGCTACTTAATAGATTCCCATCTATTTCCCCCTTCCTTTGAATGTTGCTGAACCTGTGGCAAGGTATTTAATTTCATTTGATGCTTGAATAAGCCACACACCCACACAAGCATTCAAAGGGCTGGTCAGCAAGACTTATTAACCATCATCTTCATCATTAACATCATAAAAGTCATCAAGAACTTGAGTTCATCCTCATGGCTGTTGCATCAGCGTCGGAGCTTCTAGGAGATACTCTTGTGTCCAGGTGTTGAGCCCACTCACCGAAATCCAAAGAGTTTGGAGTGCCCTGTTTAGAATATCTCCCATGAATTCAAGAACTCAAGGGCACCTGCTTTGTTGTCTTAAAGAAAGATGGCTAGTCCACGATATTTTGGTTCATACTGGATATTCCTTTACTCCATCTTCACAATGATTTCTTTATCACTGATACCAGCAATGAAGGGGTAATCCTGCATGTGATGTGCGCATGGTCCTCACTATCTTTATTTACAAGATTTTTTTAGCTGTGCCATTACCAATCATCTCTTATGTTTACTTTCGTCTAAAATTTACAGGAGCAAACAGAGATTGATAGACCAAACCCCCAACCAAATCAAAATGATTTCATTGCTTTGTTCTTTACACATGCTTGCACACACATGGACATTTGTTCTTTACACATGCTTGCACACACATGCACATACAGAGAGAGAGAAAGAGAGAGAGGCAGAGAGGAAAACAGAGAGAGAGAAAGAGAGAGACAGAGAGGAAGCAACAGGCAGGAAAGGGCATAGTAGTCGGAGTCTATTTTAGACTTCATGGCGAGATGTGGTTCTCCTGGTTCCTTCTTCAACTCAACACGGGCATGCATCCAGTACAGCTTCCCTGAGTGCGTGGTGCTGAGGGACCTTTTTTCCTGCTCTCTGTTGAGAAAGAGGCATCGGACACCTTGGGGAAGGGGAGGGGACGAAAACAAGGAGCCAGATGCTACGATGCAGTGCTAGCTTTCGTAGGAACACAGGAGAACTTAAAGGAAGATCGGCAAACAGCAAAGGGTTGACGAAAGAGATAAAGGAGAAGTCCGGTTACAGAAGAACAATAAAGAAGAATGTCTCAGCTTTCCAGAGTCCAGGAGTTCCATAGCTGTAGTTGGCATGCCTGAACTTCAGACGCAAACCCTCCACCACAGGTCGGTAGATGAGAAAGAAGTGCATGAAGGAACCGCCTGGGCCCGGTTTTTCACAGCTGAGCACACCCTGCCTCCCATTGAGTTGGGCTGGGCAATGAGTTGCCCACAGCTGGTCTAAACCCAGACCTGAAATAGCTGTGATCGGTATCGTTGTTGCCTTCTTTGCCTCCATTTTGGACAGTTCTCGGAAATCTAGCAGGGAAGGAGTAGATGTTGCCTCCCAAGGAACCGCAAGGAAAGCAAGACCCAAGTCATCTACCATACGGCGCTTGACCCTAGGACCCAATCCTTCCAACAACAGCTCGACGGACGAATATGACATCGGGACTTACTGTTATGATGGCCCCCAGTAGGACCACACTGAAAAGGGGTGCTGTATGACTTCCGATGGTGGCATCTAGCTGATAGTTAGTGGATTGATCCCAGGGAGGATGCCAGGTTCTCCAGCCAAGACAATTCTGGCACCCGAACCACCAAAGCTGGATGCCTGCCCCATTGCCCACAGACCTATCCGCACATGTTTCAACCCTCTTGTACTTCCTCATCCCATGATACAGTGGTGCCTCGCATTGCGACGTTAATTCGTTCCAGCACAATCGCTGTTAAACGAAAACGTCGCAATGCGAAATAAAAAAGCCCACAGAAACGCATTAAAATGTGATTAATGCGTTCCTAGGGGCTTCAAACTCACCGTTCAGCGAAGATCCTCCATAGTGCGGCCATTTTCGCTGCCTGTTAAGCGAGGAATCTGTCCCAGAAAACAGTGGGCGGCCATGGTTTTTCCTAGCGGCCATTTTGAAACCACCGATCAGCTGTGCTAAAATGGTCGCTTTGCGATGATCAGTCATCGCAAAGCGAAAATACCCCATAGGGAACATCGTAAAGCGATCGCAAAAGCGATCGCAAAAAGTTAGTCGCAAAGCAATTTCGTCGCTAAATGGAGCACTCGCTAAGCAAGGCACCACTGTATCACAATTCTGTCTCATGGAGCTTCTGCTTCTATTTATCTTTGCCTCCAGATGTAACTTGATGTTTGTTTGATCACAATGCGTATGTACAAACTGCCCAGTGACCTTCTCCGATAAAGAGCGGACCAGAACATTGCAAACCATGTTCTCTTGAGATGTCTAGGGGGACGTCCCACATCTTCAAATGGATGGCGATTGTAGCCAGTCCGAAGTTCAATTCACTGGGGCTCTAGGTTCTTCTAACGGATCCATCTTCTGCATCCCAGTATTCAGGTCTTCTATAAACTGGTTTAATCGAGGTGTTTTGCTTTAGCAGGGCCAAACTATGTCACACTTGCTCCACAAGACTAAAACCAGAAAGACCAGCCTGATTTGAATGCAATTTTAATTTAAAATGTTGAAACAGCCCTCGGGGCAATAAGAATAGAAAGATATGAAACAATGATAGCGTATAATTCTTGTTCTTGGTCTGGATTACAAACCTTTCAGACAAAGTGGGAAAGGAGAGGAAAAGAGAAATCCGCGAAGGTCACGAAGAAGGCCTAGATTTCAGAGTGGGCTCCCTGAGCTTAACTCTTCTGAAGCCAGGCCAAAACTTTCCGTGGACTTTCTGAATGTCACATGGGTTTTGTAGGCCTACAAACACATACTAACGCAATGGTTCAAGTAAGAACGTCTTCTGAGATCGCCATTCCTCAGATGAAGCCAAGATTACCCCAGCTTTACTGTCTTTCTGCAAACATGTGAAGATCTTTCTCTTCAGGAAAGCTTTTCCTTAGTAACAGATGGCCTAGGAAAGGTTTTAAAATGAGAGGGTTTGCCTTCTGTTACTTCTAAATCCATTTTATTAATGCTTTAGCTAACCATCCTGAGTAACATCTTATTACGTTGGGTGGCCCAGAAGTGCAATAAATAAAATAATAAAGTTATTAATTCATTGAATATTTGAATGATTCAGTGGTTTTAGCTTTAATATTGTGTGTTAATGATGTAAGCCATCGTTGATTCCTTGTGAGGAGAAAGGCTGGTTAAAAATATTTTAAATGGATATATAAAACTTCCCACAGCTACGGCCCCGTAGACTCCTATTAACCACCAAATGAACACAGGTAGTTTTGCCTCAGACGCTGATCGACTCATAACGGGGATTAAGGATGGCCCTCAGGAGAGTCACGTTGATGGAAGGTGACAGGGGGGAGCCCCCTAATGGATGGAAATCATTCCTCAGATGAAGCCAAGATTACCCCAGCTTTACTGTCTTTCTGCAAACATGTGAAGATCTTTCTCTTCAGGAAAG